TTTACAGTACTGTTTGGATAATTTTTGCTTCGAAATACCAGTTGAATGATCTGACTTTCATTAGTTCCCTTAGCGAGCACTGCAATTCCAGAAACAGCATCGGCAACTGGGTTTTACCTAAGTTTCAGCACTAGGCGACAAACGTATTTATTCTATACGAACTTCTGAGAAGTTTCTGTGATTTACAAAGACGAATGGGTTCCACACAATTTCTCAGCATATGACGTATTGCTACCTGCAGTGCCGGCTGAATCGCTAAAGAGAAAGTAAATAGAAAACCGGCCATAATTTTTGTTCTAAAATCCGATTCCGACGGATTAATACCATGGTAACTGTCAAACGCTTTGAGAAAGGCAAGTTCACTGCAAAGGAACTATTCAAGAGATCTTAAACTGTTCATTTCAAATTTGTGTGAAGAAATCAGTATTGGTAGGGATTTGACGTGGAATATTAGGAAGTTTCGCTGAGTTTACTCGCAGATAGTTTTATGTTCCTCATTTGCACCCTACTCCCCCCGTCTCTGTGAGTTTTCTGTTTGAAATTTGCAGCGGCCATCAATGAGGCCAACGGACGAAAAAAAATGAAGATGACCGTTGGTATCTTCATCAAAAATTTTGCTGAAATTTAATACTTTCGTTAGGATTGTCCTTCTTCACACATGCTGCATTATTCAGGTGCAAAATCTAATCAGATTGCCAGTATGCTATGAAAATTACTCTCTGAAGTAGCTCGTTTTGGAGAAAAAACATGGGTAACAATATAAAGCACCCTACTCCCCCCGTCTCTGTGAGTTTTCTGTTTGAAATTTGCAGCGGCCATCAATGAGGCCAACGGACGAAAAAAAATGACACATATGACACATTCCTTTCCTTTTGCACATATGTACATGTGCAAAAGGAAAGGAACATTCAACAAATCATGCGTTATGATTGAGAGTAATCCGCTTTTATCCACTACTACCGGGGGTTTGTATGATCACGCAAAAATTTTGAGGCTACCATAGATTGAGGTAACAGTAAAAATTTTTGGAAGTATTTGACCCATTGTGTTTGCTCTCAGCTATGGAATATTGAGAATGTGTAATAATAGCAGTGTCTGAAAAATATTAAGCGCAAAAATTTCAACCTCAATTTGTTTTCCTACCCCCTCAGGTAGAGATAAAAATGTCACGTGAAATTTTGTAAAACCAGGAAAATTGAGAGTTGCCTTCAAAAATCCAACTCCAATAAGGTATTTACTCATCCAGATTCAATGAAGTTAACACCCAGCCCCAGTGAGGAGTGTACTGAAGAGCTTACTACTATACGCTTTCTCCGAGGACATGGATGCATCATTGCGATTACCCGAGGTAGACGGCAGTGGTAACGATGGTGAATTCGTAGAGTGTCAAAAGTTCACCTTGGGTAATCTCAATGATGCATGCTACCTCAAAAGTGCTAAGATTTACGAAAATTTCCCCGGGCTAAACGTGTAGTGCATGCTGAACACATATTCGAATGACCGCCCAGAATGCAAACACATGTTTCATATCGCGTAAAGCGGCAAAAAAAAAAAGAAAAATAAATGAAGAATTCAAGACTAGTCACTGCTCGCTTACCTCGTACTTTTTCTGGATGCAGTGTTGCCGTAGTAACTGTACTATTAGGTAGAGTATAATAGCAGCCAGACATGCTAGCAGTATTCCACCAAGTACAGCAGTCATGGGAATTTGAGGCGGCTTCACCATGTTATCTGAAAGATATCGAAAGAAATGAAAACGATGCAAAACGTCGTATAATGAATTATTTCATAGAGGATGCGTGCTACTTAAAAGTTTCCTGGGTTGTGCTCCATCCTTTATGGATGAGAATGTTTAAGCACTGTTTACTCAAATGAGACACGAGGGAGTAGAAATGCAGTACAGGCTTACAAATACGTACAGAGCTACTGGAACACATACATAGCGTAAATGCATAGCGGATCACTGCAGGAACTTGAAATTGAACTGATGCAGTTTTTTCTTGTTTTGCGTTCGATTGAATTAAAAAAAAACCATAATGCACAGCATCATAAAAATAAGGAATAAATATGTACAGAAATACAGAAGCAGCCATCAACCACATGCACGAGCAGCTGAGTCCCAAACTGTATACTTTATTCACGTCATAAGGTGATCATTGTTAGAGGTTAACTATGTAGCACGAGGTATGTAAAGGCTGAAGTATGCGCGGAGTTGAGGGCGTGGTTCACTTCAATTGCGAGTGACGTGGCAATAACTGAAACCGGAAAATTGTGCCCGACGTGCTGTACAGCAGCTGTATAGCACCACCTCGACCGCAGTTATTCAGCAATGCATAGGAGTGTTTGGAAAAAGAAAAGGGACTGCTTATTGAATTGCACTAAGTCAATTAGCGTAGTGGCGAAGCGACAAAAACTGAGTTATTTGAGGCATCCACACATAAAAAAATGAAGGCTAAGTGATTAAGAGTTTTTTCCTGAATATTGACTGGTCTGAACAAAACTCTATTAAGTACAAAACCGTCGGTAACTTCCAGCAAAGAAGTACATAAGGAGGCAAGTGTACGAGAAAGGGGCAAAAGCGCGTCTTTTTGTCTTTCCTGCAGCATTTCTGTGTGAATGAAAAGGTAGTCTGCGTATGGATGCGACCACTCAATACCTGTAAAATGACGTCAAAACCGCCGCTTAATTTTGTAAGATTAAGCCTTTGAACTGTTTTGCATCGATCTCGGTGACAATGGCAGAATCATGAGCATATAAAACTTTTCAAGAACACTGTTAATGATCACGTTCTGTGAAACGTTAGAAGAGAAACATGATAGACAGAGGCTTGGATTTTCCAGATCCTCGAAATTCTCAAAAGATTCTCAAAATTATTGCTCATTTGAAATCAGCCCTCTCCACCACTGCTACGTTCTTGAGAGTTCAACTTTGCAGGGAAGAAGCAGTCAGTTCAATGCCATTACATATGTATATAGATGCTAAGACACTGATACAACATACATTTGGACACGTACGCTAGCCTGTAAATCTTTGCTGTTAAAAGAGTTACGGCGAAAAGTCAAGAAAACGAGACTTTGCGTCTTTTGATCAGTTGATACTCTTGGAAATGTCTTTTATAGTCTTTTTCACTAGAAGGTACGAATAAGGTCAGAGAGAGAGAGAGAGAGAGAGAGAGAGAGAGAGAGAGAGAGAGAGAGAGAGAGAGAGAGAGAGAGAGAGAGAGAGAGAGAGAGAGAGAGAGAGAGAGAGAGAGAGAGAGAGAGAGAGAGAGAGAGAGAGAGAGAGAGAGAGAGAGAGAGAGAGAGAGAGAGAGAGAGAGAGAGAGAGAGAGAGAGAGAGAGAGAGAGAGAGAGAGAGAGAGAGAGAGAGAGTAGAGAGAGAGAGAGAGAGAGTAGAGAGAGAGACGA